TCAGCTCTTAATTGGATGGTTTAGTCTTGAAAGACTTTGGAACAAGAGATTGTTGCCATTTTGTGCCTTGCTGCAGAACTCAGAGAAGTGAGACATTTATACTGATAAGAAATAATAAACACCTGAGTCTGAACATGAATTACTGTCCCAAGTGCCTTCAATCCAGACCTGACTCATTCTCCCAGTTTGAGGGTTTGGGATTTTTAGTGTGTTGTGGATGGGAGCAAGATGGAGAGCACAGGGCTTGTCCTGGGTTTCTTCTTCATGCTTCTTCATCCTCCTTCTTCTCCATGGATTTGGGTGGCATTTTGTAATTGGGCAGAAAAGTCAGTTCCTAATTGGATGGTTTAGTCTTAAAAGACCTTGGAACAAGAGATTGTTGCCATTTTGTGCCTTGCTGCAGAACTCATGGCTGTGAGACTGCTTCACTGATAAGAAATAATGAATAAACACCTGAATCTGAACATGAAATATCATCTCAAGTGCTTTCAATCCAGACCCAGAGAAACCAACAATTCCCCAGCCTGACACATTCTCCCAGTTTAGGGTTTGGGATTTTTAGTGTGCTGTGGATGGCAGCGAGATGGAGGGCACAGGGTTTGTCCTGGGGTTCTTCTCCATGGGTTTGGTGGCATTTTGTAGTTGGGCAGAAAGTCCACATTGGGATCAGTTATTGGATTAAAAGGGGAAATAATCCAGGTGCCAGTTCTTAGTTGGTCTCTTAAAAGACCTTGGAACAAGAGATTGTTGCCATTTTGTGCCTTGCTGCTGAACTCCTGGCTGTGAGACTGTTTCACTGATAAGAAATAATAAATAAATACCTGAGTGTGAACATGAACTATCATCTCAAGTGCCTTCAATCCAGACCCAGAGAAACCAACAATTCCCCAGCCTGACTCATTCTCCCAGTTTAGGGTTTGGGATTTTTAGGGTGTTGTGGATGGCAGTGAAATGGAGGGCACAGGGTTTGTCCTGGGGTTCTTCTCCATGCCTTTGGTGGCATTTTGTAATTGGGCAGAAAGTCCACATTGGGGCTCTTTGGGATCAGTTATTGGGTTATAAGGGAAATAATCCAGGTGTCAGCTCTTAATTGGATAGTTTAGTGTTAAAAGCCCTTGAAATGAGATTTTTGGTCATTTTGTGCCTTGCTGCAGAACTCACAGTAGTGAGACTGTTTTACTGATAAGAAATAATAAATAAACACCCGAGTCTGAACATGAACTATCACCTCAAGTGTTTTCAGTCCCAGAGAAACCCACACCTGGAACTGCCACAACTCAGCTCCCATCCCATGACTCCAGGAGGAGGTGCCATTGCTTTTCCTGCTTACCCAACTCTTTTTTTCTTTGTTTTTAAATGCTTTTGGAAGCGTTGGCTTTGGGTGGCACAGCAGTGACCCTGTGTGACTGTTCCCTGCATTGTTCCCTGGACAATAACTACAATAACTACAATAACTCACCCCACACCCTGCAGACAACCACAGCCATCCTCTCGTCCCTCCCCGCGTTGAAATCTCCAAGGAAAACACAGCAACAAAGATTTTAATCAAGCCCAAAACCATCCCCACAGCGCCCAGATTGATCAGGGGAAGGATTCCAAGGGGTTTTCAGCCCTCTCAGCCCCTTCTGCCTTGCAGAGTTTGAATAAATGAAAAAGAAATGAATATGGACAACAGGCTGGATCCCTCAGCAAAGATGTCAGGCTTGAGGAATTCCTCAGAACTCGTTTCAACAACGTTTTAAGGACTCCTCATTGTGAGTGAATGTCATAAAAGGGGTTGAATTTCAGCAGCATCAGCCCTTTGAGATGGAGCAGAGGGAAGGAGCCTGTGCAGCACAGCAAGCAGCAAATGCTGACTGAACCCAGGCTGTGTTCGGCCTTATCACAAATCCTGTCCCCCCCAAAGCAGAGTTTTCCTGCCTGAATCCTTCCAGGATCCCACATTTCCATGCTGAAGCCCAGAGAGTTTCCATACCCGTCACAAATAAATGTATGCACACACCCCCCACGTACCCCAACATCAAATATACATCACCAGACAAGCAGAATCAAAGGGGAAATAAATGCTTTGCTGACATTTTTATTTGTGGGCAAATTCCCGTCCTAAAAGCTAAAGAGCTTCCAGACTTAAATCTTTCATTAGGTTCAGAAGGTTTGAATTAGGGAGCAATGCTAAAAATAGGTTCTGCTATTTAAAAAGTAATAGGTTTGTGCTGTATCACTTAACTGCTGGAATTAGGAGGAGCAGCCTAGAAAAGATTCAGAGAATCAGGACAAAAGAAATGCACAATAAAGCTTTGTAAGCTTAGCCCAAGCCACACCCAAGGCCAAGCCAAGCTCACTTAAAACGTGAATATCCAGAACAGGTTTTGAAAAATTTCAGCTTCTCCAGGAACATCTGTGCAGTTTGTCCTTCAGCAACGCTTTTTATGATTTATTTTGGTTGTTTTATCAAAGCTGAGGTTTGCACCAGAATATTCCTGATGCTCAGGGGAGGAGCAGAAATGCAACCTGCGATTTTCCTGCAGCTCCAGAGGCGGGGAGGTGACTCAGGAATCTGCTGCTGAGGAAAACTTATCCACACACACGCTCACACAGAGAGTTTGTGCCCTGTCTGAGCAATTCCCAGCTCACCCGTGATGGGCGCCCTGCCTGCTTGTGCTGGTTAGGATCACAGCGGGGCTGGGTGCAGGTGTGACAGGAGCAGCCCCGGTGCCAGCGCACATCATCCTCCTGCACAGCGCTGTCCCTGCAGGCACGGCTTCCTTCCCTGGCGCCCTCCGAAAAGTCACCCTCGCCATGAGGGAAAATGGGAGATTTCCCAGTGATTTATTGAAAATATGGGTATTGATCTAGTGCCGATAGCCAATTGTGACAAAAACTGTTCAACAGTTTAGAGTTAGAAAGTGTTTGTTTGTTGTGGGATAGCTCCCAAAACCACACCATAATTTACAGGTGATTACAGGTGATTCCAGAATCCTTTTATCTATACAAATATTGAATATCCAAAATACAAATACATGTTAATGACTTTGGTACATCCCATTGCCAATATGGATATTGATCTGGTACTGATACCCAACTGTGACAGGCAAAAACTCTCTAACAGCTTTAAGTTAGAAAGTGTTTGTTTATTGTGGGATAGCTCCCAAATACACACCACAATTTAGAGGTGATCACAGAGCCCTTTTATCTGTACAAGTATTGAATATCCAAAATACAAATGCATGTTCATAACTTTGGTACATCCCATTCCCAATATGGATATTGATCTAGTACCGATATCCAAAACCAGTTTAGAGTTAGAAAGTTAGAAAGTGTGTGTTTATTGTGGGATAACTCCCAAATGCACACTGCAATCTAGAGGTGATTACAGAGTCCTTGTATCTATTTGGGTATTGAATACCCAAAATACAAATACATGTTCATAACTTTGGTACATCCCATTCCCAATATGGATATTGATCTAGTACCAATCACCAAAAACTCTCTAACTAAAAGTTGAAAGTTAAAAAGTGTGTGTTTATTGTGGGATAGTTCCCAAATACACACCACAATTTACAGGTGATTACTGAGCCCTTTTATCTGTACAAGTATTGAATACCCAAAATACAAATGCATATTCATCACTTTGGTACATC